TGAGACAGGCCAACCTGCAACATTCACCAATTCATACAAGGCCAAGATGGAGGGGCAGGATATGCCAGGCAAGGGTCTAGTATCCGTTGGCATGTGTAAGATCTGGGTCTGGGAGTGGATCGAGTGGGGAAATGTGGAAACTCCCAGTGAGTCATAGCTCCTGCTGGTGAGTATGTGGTCCAGTCATGGGGGTCAGGCAAGGTAGCTCCAACTGTTGTCAAATGTGTGGGTTAGTTTTGGAAGGGGGCAGAATGCGCAGGGCCCAGCAAACCTTAGCTCACCAGCAAGTGCAGAAACCAAACTGGAGCACAGGTCATGACAGGCAGGGCTCTCACACCTACTGCTTTGCATGAGCCACAGATGGGAGCAGACTGAGCAGGGCCTGTTGAAGGTCTGCCTCCCCCGCCCCCAGAAAACCAGACCACTAAATGCCCGAGGACCCCGATTCTCAAATGTTCTTGGCAGACTGAGACTTCTGCAGGAAGCAAACAAACATCCTGGTGAGATTGTTGGCCACTTTGCTAGCGAAGCGTGCCTTTGGAGGTGTGAGGCAGCCTCATCATCTTCCTCTTTTACTGATTGTGGCCTAAATGAATCTGAGTACAAACCGAGTTCTGTTAGATTCCTTTTCTAGTTAGATCTGTTTGTTTACCAGTGTTGGTTTCTGTAACTCATGTTTGCTTAACTCTGCTTAGAGCCTGGTGATTGGTTCCCAAATCTCTTATGATCCATTGTTACAGTAGCTTGTATGTTACTGTTTAGTTAACTAGTGACTTTTATCTGCCTGCTTGCCCTGCAAAAATCATGGTACAAGTTGCCCAGTAAAACTCAATAAAGTGTGCATTGGTTCATGTCTCCTTTGTATTCCCTGTGTCCCGATTCTTCTCAGCATGGTTGTCATACCTCAAGTCCTGGTCCCCACTAGAGGGACCCCCCCAAGAAGGGCCAGGTTCCAGTACCCACCAGTCAGAGTTGGGACTGGGGCAAGGCTGGGTCAGGTCGGGCTACAGCATCTTAAGTTAGCAAAGGTCAAGACAGGAAAGGGATTATGCCAAGCTGGGTCAGAGCAATGACTGGCATGTGCAAGATCTATAGCTGGGAACATACCTGGTTGGGGAGCAAAGGGGATGCTCTGGCTGGGTTGGGGTTCCCACTGGTGAATGTGAAGGCCAGCATGGGGCTGCTATTTGGTCTGAACATGGCTGCAGTGTCCCTCGGCACAAGTGTGGACTGGGGCTGTGGTTGTGGAACAGGCTTGGCTGGGCTGCAACACCTAACAGTAAAAACTGGAATGGGTTGAAAGCCAGTCAGGAAAAGCCACTGTTTTCTGTTAGGACAGCAGGTGGACTAAGTAAAGCTGGCCCATGGACCCACTGATGGGTGTGAGATTTTGCATTGAGAGAGGTTCTGATGGAGGATCTTGGGGAACTCCTCTGTCGGGACACAGTCCCTGCAGGTAAGTGCAAGAACTACAGTGAGGAGCAGCCAGACCATGCTGCAGATTGGTGCCCATGGGCATACATTTGGAGCAGGTTGGGGGTAAACCAGGCTGGGTCAGTTCACATCACCTGCTGGTGAATCCAAGTATCAGAATGGAGTATGGGTTGGGCCAGGTTGGCTCAAAACACATACCAGTTCACATGAGGGCCAGAACTGGGAACTGGCTGGGCTGGGCTAGGCTGTAGCCCCCACCAGCATGAGCTGAAATTGACTACAGCACCCATTGGCAAATGCTGAAGTGAGACAGGCCATGCCAGGCTGGGCCACAGCACCCAACGGGCACAAGTGAAACTTGGGGAAAGGAGAGGGATGGAGCTGGTGGGGCGTGGGGGACTGCGTGGGGCTCTCCTGCTGGACCACCGCTCCCACTGGTGAGCATGAGAGTTGGGATGGGGGCATACCAGGCTGAGAAGGGCTACAAAACCTGTTGGCCTCATGTGAGTTAGATCAGGGTAAAGCCAGGCTGGGTTGCCTCTTCCTATTGGTGCATACACAAGCCAGAGTGGGATTGGGTTAGTTGGACTTTGCAGCAGTATCAGCTGACAGATGCTGGCACTGCGGGCAAATTCTATCAAGTTAAACTGCAGAACCATCTGGAGAGTGCCAGATTTGGGAGCGGGAGTGGGTCCAATAGGGAAACAGTGGGTGACTCTCTTGGGTTGCCACTCTGACTGGTGAACATGAAAACCAAGAATGGGACAGGCATAGCTAGACAGAAAGTGGCACCTGCCAGCATGCGTGTGGGCTGGATAGTGGGGCTCTTTGGGTTGAACTAGGCTTCAATGCCCATTGACACATATTAGAGTTGAATGGGATGTGGGACGGACTGGACCTACCGGCTGTACATACTGGCAAGCAGGGGGAGAGCCTGGTGGGGATTATTGTGGGTCTCTCCAACTAGGCTGCAACTTCCACTGGTTTAGGTGGATAAGTGTAGGCTATCAGTGTCTGGCTGATCTGGAACATCCATTGATTTGTGTAGAAGACAGGGATGGAGGCAGAACTGATCCAGCAATTGCAGCCACTTGCATATGCATAAGCAGACTGAGGCAATGGACGATGCCAGACCCTGGACTGGCAAACACACACAAAAATTAGGTATGGGGTCACCTCAGATGAAGTTTCTTTGGGGATCCTACCAGCTTAATTGCTGGACTCAGAACCCCAACCATGGAGAGAATTATAGGTTCCATGATCTGACTGTGGAGTGCATGTGTCAGAGCTGGGTCTCCTCAGTGGCTTAGATGGAGCAGTGACAACATGTCCAGGTTCACATGGAAATATGGCAGTACATTGGAGTCTGCAGAGGGTGCCTGATACCACAGCAGAGGATGGAGGACAAAACAAATTGATCAACTATCACAGTCAGTGTTGGCAGTGAATATCTGGGTTAACAGAGACTCTAAGGTGGACTCTGTCAACCAGTGGATTCTGGAGAGATTTCATTGAGTTTGGAGTGGCAAGATCAACAGTAATTCAGAACTGTTAAGCTAGCAAAACCTCTTGAGCAGGGCCGTCAGAGCATGCCCCGCATTGGGGATCCCGGGATGATTGAGAGGCTGGGTGTGGCTTCTCCCCTTATCTCCCTTCTTTCTCCAGATATAAGAAGGAAAATAAGAGAATGTGGAAATGGGGATCTCACCCATCTTTCTGTAGTTCTTAACCCTTTGTACCATAATCAACTATATAAAAATCATAAAAAATAAAAATAATTTTAAAAAATGAACTTAAATTATTAGGGGTAGAGAATCATTGTATTAGGGGCTAAAAGCTCCCACCTAAATTTGGTGAAAACTAAATACAAATGTCATGACAATACCCTTGCTTTTGGCTCCTAGGAGCTAACTTTCTAGAACCAGTTCCCAGGGTAGCCGGGCAAAATGCTGAAGTTGGCTGAAAAACAAGTTTTTTTGAGAGCTTCCAACCTTCCATGACAGCAGTGGTGCCTCCTCCTGGGCACCGCCCACCTCTGTGACTTGCCTTCCCCTCTCAGCTCAGAGGCCTAGCCCACAGTCTCTGTGCGTCCCTTGTAAAATGGTCAGTCCTTGATATGGACTGAGCCACGTGGAATGTGTGTTCCAGGAATGCATAAACAATTTAACAGGGGAATGAGGAAAGGGGAGATGAGAAGGAGAAGGAAGGAAGCCAAAGTGAGGGGTTCAAAAATTCATGGACAATGCACATTATGAAAAAGACTATACCTGGGTTTCAATTGTTTTTGTCAGTGCTAAGCATATCCACATGATTAGAGTTTTCTAAATTGCGCTTGGTAGATCATGGTTTCTAAGGGTTGTTCATAAATGTGTTGGGGATAGGAAAAGGTTAGGAATTCCATGGTCAACCCAGATTGAAAAATTCCGGATGAAACAGTTGAGTAAACTTGTTTTCTATACTACAGTACTTTACAGAGCTTTTCCTAACCACCAACGTTTTGAGAGCTCCAGCAAGAAACAAGAAGTGTACCGGTTCCTAGTGTACTTGGCCAAAGAATTCTCTTTTGAGAAATAATTGTCAGTATCATTGGTCAGTATAATTTCTTATAGATAATGATATCTAATGTGGTTTCCATAGGGAAGAAACTGTGGTTTTAGAACTTACATGATTTGTATAACGCTTCATTGTTGCACAGCTAGTTCCTAGCTGAACCATAATTCCAAATGCATGTTTATACAAAAAAAATGAAGTTAAACATAGTCAGAATGTTTAGATATCATCATGGGAAATTCATGGGCCACAAAGAAACACATTTAAAATACTTGGTTATCTCTCCGTACATGTCCCCAACACCCTTCCCCTCAAGGCCAGTCTTCACTTCCTCTTTAATCTCCATACATGAAAGCAGTCTCCTTTCTGGAATTTTCCAGCGTCCCTCATTTGGACCTTGGCACATATTGGTGTATTGTAACTTTTTGTAGGTACAGTCTTATCTCTAAAAAGCTTAAAGGCTTACCAAGATATTACTTTGAATCCCCAATTGTGTCTTTTTTTTTTTTTTAATTGGAAAGGCGGATATACAGAGAGGAGAGACAGAGAGGAAGATCTTCCATCCGATGATTCACTCCCCAAGTGAGCGCAACGGTCAGTGCTATGCCAATCCGAAGCCAGGAGCCTGTTCCGGGTCTCCCACGCGGGTGCAGGGTCCCAAAGCTTTGGGCCGTCCTCGACTGCCTTCCTGGGCCACAGGCAGGGAGCTGGAAGGGAAGCGGGGCTGCCGGGATTAGAACCGGCGCCCACATGGGATCCCGAGCGTGCAAGGCGAGGACCTTAACCACTGTGCCACCGCACCAGGCCCCCCCCCCCCCAATTGTGTCTTGAAGATAGTAGAGGCTCGATAGAACTTTCTCAGTTCGTTTACTACCCACCCGTCTGTCTTAGCTATTGATGTTTTGTGGTGTCCTTTTATGATATCTGAACACAACAGAAAACACTGATTCTTGCATCAGGAACATCACATGCTTACACTCTGGGATCAAACAGCCTGATGTGGAATGCGGACATACCTGTAAGATGCAGCTCATGATGTCCGACGCAATTTTTGCGTGAGGAGTGTCTTCGTCTTTCCCGGGGTGCCGCAGGTTGTGCTCCAAACAGGAGTCCCAGAGCCCCACGAGGGCCTTTGCATGCTTCTCAATGGACTCCGTCTCTCTGATGGCTGTCGTGATTCTTGTTATACATATTTCAACCACTGCCTGGTCATTGTTATTGGTTTGGTAATCCTGTTTGGAAAGAGAGCCTTTATATTAAATTATTCCTCCACAACAGATAAAATACTAACTCCATCCTTTAGAAGTGGGTGTGCTGTGCTGTGTCCTGAAGGGTGAGATTGTAAAGCCTAATTAGCATCTTAATTGGAAATGCTAATACCTTGTTAGACACCCTTGCTAAACACCCTGTTTTGAGATAGAGCTGGTTTGTGCTACCTCATAGAAGGAGAAAGTGAAATTTTGGGATGCTTAATTATTCATTTGGAAGGGAGTTTAATCCTCAAACTGCTCAGTTTCTGAGTCTATTATAGGGCTATCATTTACTCTGCTGTTTCAGTAACTTGGATGAAATGTTTCAAATTATCCCCCAATTTCTCCTCAGTAGCTTTCTTTCTCATTCTGGACTAATTGAATAACATCATTTCATCTCTCTCAATTCAAATAACTGCAAAACTCTTTTTAGCCTTCCCAACCACATTTCTCCCCATTCTCCTATTTTAATTCTCCCTCCAGTAACCCCTCATCTTTATTGAAAGATAATATCAGCCTCTTACACATCTAAATGTGAGAAATGGGTTTGTGGCAATAATTTGAAAAACTGGTCCATCACCTTTGCACAGTGGACTCACAAAACAAAACACAACAGAGTGGTGAAGGTTTTGATCTTTATGATACTGTGGGCTTCATGAATGCCGATCTCATGCACGCTAATAAAGCATCCATTCTGCGGCCCAGGGATCAAGGAATGATCACAACTCTGATGTGATACTCTATGAGAAGTACATTTCCCATGGCCATCTATACCTACCATTGATCTTTGGTGCATCTCAAAATCTTAGAAAAGGATTCATCATTCGAAATGTCAATAAGAACATTGGTGCTTCATGGGAGGAGGTCAAAATATCAACACTAAGAGGAGTTTGGAAGAAGTGAATTCCAGGGCCAGCGCCATGGTGTCAGTAGGCTAATACCTTGCCTGCAGTGCCAGTATCCCATGAGTGTGCCAGTTTGTACTCCGCTTCAGATCCATCTCCCTGTTTATGGTTTGGGAAAGCATCAGAGGATGAGTAAATCCTTGGGTCCCTTTATTCATGTGGGAGACCTGGAGCAGCCTCCTTGAACTTGGCTTTGGATTGCTCAGCTCTGGCCATTGGGGCCATTGGGGGATTGAACCAGTGAATAGATTTTGCTTTGTCTCTCCTCCTTTCTGTAAATCTGCCACACACACACACACACACACACACACACACACACACACATTTATGAATCTTTAAAAAAATAAGTTAATTTCATGAAATGAAGCATGAATGACTTTGAGGAATTCAAGATTTCAGTAAGGGAAGGAGCTGTAGATACAACAGAAACAGCCAAAGATGTAGATGTATTAGGCTGCCCTGAACAGGTGCTGGAGTTGCTGTTATCTCGGGATAAATCTTGATAAGGTGTGAAGTTGTGCATTTTGGACAATGGAAGTCATTTCTTGAGACGGAATCTAGTCCTGCTGAAGGCGTGGTGAACATTGTCAAGATGACGAGAGAGAGTAGAGAGTATTACATATGCTTAGTTTGGAAAGGATTGACTCCCATTTTAAGAAAAGCTTTTACCTTGGGCAAACTACTGTCAATCAGCACCACATGCCACAGAGCAATCTCTCATGAAAGGAAGACTCCATCAAAGCAAACCATCTTCTTTGCTGCCTTATGTTAAGAAACTGCCACAGCCACCCCAGCCCAGCCTTCAGGAGCCATCAACATCAAAGCAAAAAGATTGCAATTCATTAAGGGCCCAGCTTATCAGATAATCATTAGCCTTTTTCTTTCAATAAGTTATTAGTTTTAAATTTTTTATTGATGGCATGGATAGTTTTCAACATAGTGCTATTGCACATCCAGTAGACTACATTTTAGTGCAAATAAGATTTCTACATGCCCTGGGAAATAAAAAAAAATCATGAATTGCATTATTTTTGTTATTTGCTTTATTGCATTGGTCTGGAATTGAATCTGCAATATCTCTCAGTTATGCCTGTATTATTAATAAATCTACCTCCTAAAATTGTTGTGAGGATTAAATAAGTTAATACACAGAACCGATTTACAACACTATCTGGCAGAGGGCAGCTACATATAGACATCAACAGCTATTTTATTTCCCTTAAGGATTCCAGAACCCTGAAAGTCAGCTCTGGGTTTACACTGAACAGCGAGTTATAATAAATATTTCTTTGTGTGACTGCTACTTTTATACATTCATTCCAGAGTCACTTAATAATGTACAGCATGAAGACTCATCACGACTACCCTCTTGCAGTTACACTCCACTGTTGCATCCCTACAAATAATCCATCACAGGAGTATTTGCATCACCTTTTACCAATTGAAAGGCCCACAAACATATATTATATTCTTTGTTCTGTCACTCAAGTATTTCACAAGCCAAGACACTAAACAACAACAACAAATGCTCTCGTAGCTGATAATATCCCTGGAGTTTCTGAAGGAAGCTTACGCAGAAACAATCTTAGGGTAATACAATCACCTCAAGCCATTCAAAAGCCTATTCCAACTATTTACGTTTTCTAAATTCTAAAACTCGGAGAAATACACCAATATGAGCACATGTCAGTAGATTAAACGTAGAGAAGGTAAAGTACTGAAAATTCTCAGGCAATGGAACTATTTAGTCCAAAATATGAAATTCTGTGTCCCAAGTCATTCAATGTATAAAGATGCTTTCTATTGAAAAAATCAAGCCATCTTAAAAAGAACTAGAAAGATTTAAAAAAAAGACTTCTACAAATCAAAAGTTCAAAGTATAGGTGAAACAACAGATAAGATACACTTAAAATAAGACTGAATGGATTGGTAAATAGAGTTGAGGAAATAAAAAACAATATAGTGCATGAAGATGAAAAATACAAAAGATCAAGAAACGGGTCCGGCGCTGTGGCATAGTAGCCAAAGTCCTCGCCTGGAATGCGCCCGGATCCCATATGGGTGTCAGTTCTAATCCCAGCAGCCCCGTTTCCCATCCAGCTCCCTGCATGTGGCCTGGGAAAGCAGTCCAGGATGGCCCAAAGCCTTGGGACCCTGCACCTGTGTGGGAGACCTGGAAGAGCTTCTGGCTCCTGGCTCCTGGCTTTGGATTGGTTTAGCACCAGCCATTGCGGTCACTTAGGGAGTGAATCAAGGGATGGAAGATCTTCCTCTCTGCCTCTCCTCCTCTCTATATATATATCTGACTTTGCAACAGAAATAAATAAATCTTTTTTAAAAAGATCAAGAAACAAGGAGGACAAAATATAGAGAATGTTAAGGAAACTACTTTGCTTTTTTTACTACATTCTCAATGCCTAGAACATTGTATAGCACATAATCAATAAACATAATAATAACATATGATATTATGTATTATATAACATGCTAACACATTGTAACATAATAATAAACATATTCTATGCATAAATAAGTTAAAAAATAGGATTTCTAAAAGCATAGGTGAGATTAAAAAGGCAGTATTCAAGATTCCATATAAGAAGTTTTCACATTTGTAAAAGACATAGAAGTCCAAACTCATAAACACAATGAGGATAAAACAAGACGATACAAATAAAACCACTATTGTGAACCTAGACACAAAACAATGTTAAAACAAGAAAATGCAGACAAAGTAGGTAAGGTATAAAGGAATTGGAATGAAACTATAGATTTCAACAGCAATCAGTGAAATAACTGAGAAATAGACTGCCAATCAATAGATCTATATCTTGAAAATTATTTAATACTAAGAACAAAAATAAGGACCTTTAAAAAACACTTTGATTTTATTACCAACAGACTGTCACTGAAATGACTTTTAAATGTACATTTTAGAAAGTAAGACCTGGCTGCCAGCATTGTGGCACTACCTGCAGTGACAGCATTCCATTTGGCCATAAGTTTTTTTTTTTTTTTTTTTTTTATTGTTGCTTACATTGTATTATGTAGTACAGTTTTATAGGCGCTGGGGATTCCCCCCACCCCTCCCATACCCCTCCCCCCATGGTGGATTCCTCCACCTTGTGGCATAACCATAGTTCAAGTTCAGTTGAGATTCATTGCTTGCAAACACATGCCTAGCATAAAGTTCAGCGTCTTATTGTCCAGATAAGTTCAGTGGCCTCCTGGGGAGACCTTCTATGGTCTGAAGATAGGTCTAACAGAGTAAAGATCTGGACAGTTAAAAGCCCCAACAAGGCCTCAGTGTCAATATACAACATTATGGAATTACTATGGCCATAAGTTTTACTTCCAGCTGCTCTACTTCTGGTCCAGCTCTCTGCTAATGCACCTGTGAACGCAGCAAAATATGGTTCAAGTGCTTGGGCCCCGTTATCCACCAGAGAGATCCAGATGAAACCCCTGGCTGCTGCTTTCAGCCTGGCCCAGCTCCATAGCCATTGTGGTCATTTGAGGAATGAACCACCAAATGAAAGATCTCTCTCTGTGTCTATCTCTCTCCCCTTCTTCCCATCTCTGTGTCTGTAACTCTATATCTCTGAACAATAAAATAAATCTAAGGCTTAAAGAAAATGAAAGAAAAACTCGGGTTCAGGAGGGGATAGGGATACAATGAGAAAATGGAAGGAGAAAGTTCAAGGTTATCCAACAAAATGAATAAAAGTTCTAGTTAATTATAACAGGTGCAGTAGGCACATAAGCAACCCACTGTTGCTAACATATTTCAGATAAAGCTGCTTTAGTAGGATGCAAGTAGGGACCAGCGAGAAATCTAGTATTCAATTTATCATGAAAAACAACCAATTAAAATGTGAATAGCATGATGTCTTTAAAAGAGTTCTATAAAAGACTTGAATCTGCTAGACTTGAATTTCTTGTAATTTCCTTCATCTATTCCAGAGAAATTGTCCATTTCTCCTACTACCAGTTACATTACTTGCATAGTGTAACAGGTAATCTTTCTTGGATATATCAATTACAAAAAGATTATTCTTGGGCCTGGCATGATAGCCT